AAGATGGGGAATTGGCAGATCAGTAACCTTGCTGGCTCTATATACAAAAGGTGGCATGCATGAGGATACTTTTAGGGGTTAGAAGGAAGTGAGAAGTTTTGGGAACTGAGACACAAGGAGAGGTAAGGTAATAAAGAAATAGTGCAAAGGCTTTCTTTCAGGCTTCGTGGACTTATTGTGAGCTATACTGCAGGAAAAATCTCGAACTCCTTATTTCATCTACAAAAACTCTTTGGCCCTAGAGTCTTAAAATGCAAATAATTTCAAAGATTTTGAGTAGAAAATATTCCTAAAATTATACATGTATAAGCTTGTACACACACACACACACACACACACACACACACACACACACACACACAAAGAGATATAGCAAAGGGGTCTAGTTATTACAAACCCCCAAAAATTGATGGGTGATAGTGCAGTTACTAATTTAAGCACACTTCACTCAAACATGAAGAGAAATCAAGCATCTGATATGGTTTGGCTATGTCCTCACCCAAATCTCATCTCAAATTGTAATCCCCACGTGTCACGTGAGGGACCTGATGGCAGGTGATTGAACTATGGGGGCGGTTTTCCCCATGCTGTTCTCATAGCAGTCAGTTCTCATGAGATTCAAGAACTCACTGAGGAGCTCTTCCCCGTTCATTCTCATTCTCTTTTTCCTGCTGCCTTGTGAAGAAGGTACTTGGTTCTGCCGTCTTTATGGTTTTCCCACCATGTGGAACTGTGAGTCAACTAAACCTCTTTTCTTTATAAATTACCTAGTCTCACATATGCTCTGTAGAAGTGTGAAAGCAGACTAATACAGGAAATTGGTGCCTTGAAGAGTGGGACACTGCTATAAAGATAACCTGAAAATATGGAAGTGACTTTGGAACTGGGTAATGAGGAGAGACTGCAACAGTTTGGAGGACTCGGAAGAAGACAGGAAGATGTGGGAAGGTTTGGAACTTCCTAGAGACTTGTTGAATGGTTTTGACCAAAGTGCTGATAGTGATGTGGACAATGAAGTCCTGGTAGAGGTGGTCTCAGATGGAGATGGGGAACTGCTTGGGAACTGGAGCAAAGGTGACTCTTGCCGTGCCATGGCAAAGAGATTGGTGGCATTTTGTCCCTGTTCTAGAGAAGTGTGGAACTTTGAACATCAGACAGCTGATTTAGGGTATCTGGCAGAAGAAATTTCTAAGCAGCAAAGCATTCAAGAGGTGATGGAGCATAAACTTTTGGAAATTTTGCAAAGCTTTGGAAATTTCTGACCATGTGGTAAAAAAGAAAAACTCATTTTCTGAGGAGAAATTGAAGCCAGCTGCAGAAATTTGCATAAGTAATGTTGAATATTAATCACCAACACAGAGGGGAAAATGTCTCCAGGGCATGTCAGAGAGCTTCGTGGCAGCCCCTCTCATCACAGGCACAGAGGCCTAAGAGGGAAAAATTGTTTTGTGGGCTGGGCCCAAGGCCCTGATGCTCTGTGAGCCCTCAGGATATGGCACCCTGTGTCCCAGCTGCTCCAGCTTCAGCTGCAGCTAAAAGGAGCCAACATACATCTCAGGCCATTGCTTTAGAGGCTGCAAGCCCCAAGTCTTGGTGGCTTCCATGTGGTGTTGGGCCTTTGGGTACACAGAAGACAAGAGTTGAGCTTTAGGAACCTTGGCCTAGGTTTCAGAGGATGTATGGAAACACTTGGATGTCCAGGCAGAAGTCTGCTGCAGGAGCTGAGCCTTCATGAAAAAAACCTCTGCTAGGGCAGTCTGAAAGAGAAATGTAGGGTTGTAGTTCCCACACAGAGTCCACGTTGGGGCACTGCCTAGTGAAGCTGTGAGAAGAGGGCCCCTGCCCTCCAGACCTGTGTGGTAGTAGATCCACCACCAGCTTGCACGTGTACCTGGAAAAGTCACAGCCACATAACACCAGCCCATGAAAGTAGCTGGGGAGTGCTGTACCCTGCAAAGCCACAGGGGTGGAGTTGCCCAAAGTCATGGGAGCTCACCTCTTGCATCAGTGTGCCCTGGATGTGAGACATAGAGCCAGAAAAGATTTTTGAACTTTAGATTTAACGACTGCCCCACTGGATTGCAGACTTGCACAGAGCCTGTAGCCCCTTTGTTTTGGCCAATTTCTCCCATTTGAAATGAGAGAATTTATCCAATGCCTGTGCCCCCATTGTATCTTGGAAGTAACTAACTTGTAATTCTCACGTGTCAAGAAAGGGACCTGGTGGGAGGTGATTGGATCATGGGGGCAGTTTCCCCCATGCTCTTCTCATGATAGTGAGTTCTCATGAGATCTGTTGGTTTTTACAAGGGACTCTTTCCTCTTCACTCTCTCTCTTTCTTTTCTGCCACCTTGTGAAGAAGGTACTTGTTTCTCCTTTGCCTTCTACCATAATTGTCAGTTTCCTGAGGCATCCCCAGCCATGCTGAACTGTGAGTCAATTAAATTTCTTTCCTTTATAAATTACCCAGTCTCAGGTGTTTCTTTATAGCAGTGCAAAAATGGACTAATATAGTATCTTTATATTTTCTATAACTATCTGATCTCACTCATAGGGTTCAACATGTTAGGTAGCAGAAGAAGGAGAAAAAGGCTACGTGAGGTAGTACAGTCCATTCTACTATACTTTGTTATTATTTCAGATTGTACTCTTTCTACTTACAAAAAACAAAACTAAAACAACCCCTCAGGCAGGTCCTTCTTTAGGTATTGCAGAAGGCATTGTTATGGGAGATGACAGTTCCACATATGTTATTTCCCCTGGAGACCTTCTAGTGGGACAAGATATGAAAGTGGAAGACAGTGATACTGATGATCCTCACCCTATGCAGGCCCAGGCTAATGTGTGTGTTTGTGTCTTTGTTTTTAACAACAACAACAAAAAAGTTTACAAAGTAAAGAAAAATAAACAATTGTAAAAGTAGAAAAAAGTTTATAGAATAAGGTTATAAAGAAAAGTCCCTTTGTGATGTTCCCACAACGATGAAATCACCTAATGACACATTTCTCAGAATGTAGCCTCATCATTAAGTGACACATGACTATATATTTCATTATTTTATAACTTCTCAGTTTAAAGTTCAATTAAGTAAGTATCAATAACCCACAGAAATCAAAAGCTTTTTAAGGTCTTCAACAATTTCTTAAGGGTAAAAAAGCATCTTGAGATGAAAAATTTGAGAACTTCTCTTCCAGTCTCCAGGACCACTTCTTAACATATTTTTTAAAATGATTATTTAGGCACCTCTCTACAAAGCCACAGCCTCATTAAAGAGCTCAAAAAATGAATGCTGACTAAATTTTTCTGTTCCAGGAACCATCAGGGTTCTCCCTCTTTCAGTTTACACTTGAAGATAAAATGTTCAAATCTTGAAGGTAATATGACTCCAGTAGGGGAATTTTTAAAGTTCCAGTTCAGTATCTGCAAGATATTCTCCTATCTGAGAGGTCTAGGGAGATGACAAACCAAGTGTGAGATTCTGGGCTCAGGAGGGGCCCCTTCCAGGACCCAAGAAGCAAAAGCTGACTGAGAGTTTGGGGGTGGGGGGAGACATTTTTGTCCACACCACTGCCCCATGTCTCCGAAGCCTTCAGGTGGCACAGCTGTGGACAGTGTATCGGTCTCCTGAGGGCTCCTGGCGTGGGCGCTAGTGAGGAATCTTGATGAAGAAGTTCACATACTAGATGGTGAACAAAATTTATCCTAATCACGTTGGGCTACTAGAAAAAATGTAAAAACATGGAAGCTGACATTGTGGGTAAACAGATGGGGTCCAGGTACTGTCAAAAGCCAACTATTAATCTTGATGGAACAACACTTTTACCTGTGGGCTGCTGAGGCCTGAGACATACACACAAACTATGTGCCTATGATCAAGTATTGATATACCATAAGTTGTTACAGAAATATAATATAATCTATATATTGCAGTTGATCAGCCAGCCAAAGAATTTAAAGATAAATTATTCTTGTAAACATAGAATAATTTTTATATCAAAAATGTAAAGTAAAAATTACAACAACCAGAATCTGTATTTTTGAATGCCAGATATTGTTCTAAATGCTTAAAGTGACTCCTCATCTAATTGTCTGATAAATTCTGAAATATAGATCTTATTATCATCCTCATTTTAGACTTGAGGAAACTCAGGAAAGAGGTTTGTCCAAGGCCACACATTAGGAAGTGTTAATAAAATATGCTTTTTAAATTTTTTCTCCCCAAATCTACCTTCACAGCAAAAATCAGTCACCCTGTAATGATACGCATTTACATAAAGCTTCAGTATATTTGTAATATAAAAGCTCCATTTCTCAACTCTCCATCATAGCCCACCCGTCTCGTTCACAGACACCCATCTCAAATGGTCCTGAGAAAAGCAATCTGGTTCAATTTGCTAAGGGGGCAAAAATTCCCAATAAGGTTTAGTGATTGCCACAGTTGGAATGTTCTGAAATCAGGGCCATGTTCCTGTCATGGCAAATTAGGTCAGCATGGTGAGACATGGAACCATGCATAGGATGACGGAATGTAAAAGTACATTATTAGCTGATGTCCTCTCTGTTTTATTTTTCCCCGGTGACATTTAACAAATTGAATAGAAATGTTCAGAAACACACAATGCTCTGTTAGATGGTTTAAAAGACGTAGGAGGAAAAAGTAGCACGTAAACTGGCAGGCAATATCATAATATGACATTGACTATTGTGAACATTTCAGAAAATGTTTTTTTTCTAAGAATGTCTTTTAGAAGTTATCCCTTCAATAGTCCAGAGCTTTTTTGCTCAAGCTGTTGTTTTTAAGTATGGCAGAACTAATTCTGTACACCTCTAGGTGGTATGATAGAAACATGGATGTTTAAAATACACAACCTTATAATTGGACATGGGGATATTATATAAAATTAATAAAAGTGTGAATATTTTAAACTACCCTATTGGACACTAGAAAATGATTTTTATTCTTTTTACTTTTTAAGATTTTCTTTTTTTTCCCCATAGTCCTCTGAAGCTAGATGTCTTCAACAGACATCAGGTCAAAGTCAAAAACTGCTGGTCATCACCTACTATTTTAAATCTTATGTATCTCAGACAATCAGTAAGACAAAACGGCAGGACAGTTTAGTGGCTACACATGTGGGCTCCGTAGCCAGGTTTTTTGGGTAGAATCTTGACTCTACCACTTATTGGCTGTGTGACCTTTAGCAAGTTACTTAGCTTCTCTGTCCCCCTAGTCCCCTGTAGTGTGAAATAAGTTTAATAATACCTCATCAGAATTTTTATGAGGAATAAAGGAATTAACATACAGAAAGCACTTAGATAACTGCTCAGTATATAGTAGGTATTCAATAAAAGTTACCTATTAGTTTCATCTTATAAATGATGGATTTTTACAGCCATTTTATTTATTTATTTATTTATTTTATTGCATTTTAGGTTTTGGGGTACATGTGAAGAACATGCAAGATTGTTGCATAGGTACACGCATGGCAGTGTGATTTGTTGCCTTCCTCCCCTTCACCTATATCTGGCATTGCTCCCCATGCTATCCCTCCCCCATTTCCCCCCAACAGACCCCAGTGTGTAGTGCTCCCCTCCCTGTGTCCATGTGTTCTCATTGTTCAACACCCGCCTATGAGTGAGAACATGCGGTGTTTGATTTTCTGCTCTTGTGTCAGTTTGCTGAGAATGATGGTTTCTAGGTTCATCCATGTCCCTACAAAGGACACGAACTCATCATTTTTGATGGCTGCATAATATTCCATGGTGTATATGCACCACATTTTCCCCGTCCAGTCTATCATCGATGGGCATTTGGGTTGGTTCCAGGTCTTTGCTATTGTAAACAGTGCTGCAGTGAACATTCGTGTGCATGTTACAGCCATTTTAATCTAAATGTCTTGCAGATAAAACCCAAATGGACCATAACTTCTTCCACCAATGTTAAAGCAAATCAAAACTCAGAGATATTTAATCCAAATTAAAGAGCCTGAAAAAACTTAGATTTTACTAATGTTTTCTTGCAGATACAAAAGTAGTCACAGAAAAAATTCTAGCACATGTGCTTTCTGAAATAACATTTGTATTTGCCATATACATTTTTAAAAGATCACTGTGACTATTATAAGAAAGACATCGCTGTCCTCTTCAGGCACAGCACACTCCCCACTGGCTACAGCCTGACACACTGCACAGCCCCCCAATCTCCTGCAGCCGCTCCCCCAAGCATGGCACAGAGCCTCATCTCGCTATGGCAGCAGCACGGCACAGCACACTTGACTTCACGCTCGGCACCAAAGCTGATGGTGAGACCATTCTAAAAGGCCTCCAGTCCATCTTCCAGGAGCAGGGGATAGTGGAGTTGGCACACACCTGGCAGGACCTTGGCTATTTAGCCACCTATACAAACAAGAATGGCAGCTTTGCCAATTTGAGAATTTACCCACATGGATTGGTGTTGCTGGACCTTCAGAGTTACAACAGTGATGCGCAAGGCAAAGAAAAGAGGAACAGTATTTGGAAGAAAGTAGAAGAAAGACTGAAAGAATCGAGTCAGGACAGTACTGGGCAGGTGAAATGATTACCACCCACAGTTCGAGGAAGAGCCATGGACAGATAGTAGCCCACCGCCAGTGGGTGCCTTGTTGAATATGACATAGATGAAGTGGTGTATGACCAAGATTCACCTTACCAAAATATAAAAACTCTACAGTTGAAGCCGTTTGGAAATACTCTTATCCTTAGTGGCAATGTTAATTTGGCAGAGAGTGATTTGGCCTGTACCCAGGCCATCATGGGCAGTGGCAAAGAAGATTACACTGCCCAAGGTGTACTCATTCTGGGAGGCAGATGTGGGGACATATTATGTGAAACAGTCAGACTAAAACCAAAGATGGTCACTATGGTAGAAACTGACCAAATGGCGATCCATCGATGGATGTAAGAAACACGTGAAAAATGTGTGGCGATGTCAGGCAATCTTAAAGGAGACTGTGATCAGGTTCTACTAGAAGATTGTACTCCCGTACTGAAGAGGTACACCAAAGAAGGGAGAGAATTTGATTATGTGATTAATGATCTGACAGCTGTTCTAATCGCCACGTCTCCAGAAGATTCCACATGGGAGTTTCTCAGACTGATTCTTGACTTCTCAATGAAAGTATTGAAACAGGATGGGAAATATTTTACACAGGGGAACTGTGTCAATCTGACGGAAGCACTGTTTCTCTATAAGGAACAGCTGGGGTACCTGTATTGTCCTGTGGAATTCTCAAAGGAGATCATCTGTGTCCCTTCACACTTGGAATTGTAGGTATTTTACACTGTTTGGAAGAAAGCTAAACCTTGAAGATGAATATCCCCTAAATACATGGGCTGCAAATAGTTTCATCTATATGCTGTACATGACATTGAAATAAGTCAGGCAATTGAACGGGAATTCCTCAAAGTTTTCCTGTTTTTAATTATTATTTTTAATTAAAAAAACGGAAAATGTATATTTTGATGAGCTCAGGGTGTTATTTTTTTGAAAGTCAGATGAAGGATGGTCAGACAGCACAGCGAAGACTGCTAAATGCACTGAGATGCCCCCACCCCGACTCCCAGGATGTGATTTTTGTTCCTTTTTATTTTTCTGTGTGCTTTTTTGTTTTCATTTTGGTAGATCTTCAATTTGGATGTTTGGAAAAATGAACATCGTTGTTTTGTGCTGCAGGAACAATACTGATGGTGTTTCTTTCCCCCAAAATTGAGTTAGATAATAAAATTTGGTGCTTATGAGAGAGTTAAAAAATGAATAGGAGTTGCTTCAATTAAAATTACAAAAGAGATTAAAAAAAAAGAAGGATATCATGAAGGAAGCACTTAAGAGTTGTTGCAGTTGCTCAAACACAAGATGAGGTTGGAAGGGATAATAATCATGGAAACAGAGATGCAGAAAAGCAGAGATTCTTTACCAAATATTTAATAAATATGATGTGGAGCTGTTTCCCCACAGATACAAATATATAGCCATAGAAAGGAACAAGCTCGAGTGAAGATGTGGAGAAACTGGAACCCTCATACATAGCTAGTGAGATTATAAAATGCAGCCATTTTGGAAAACAGTTTAGCAGGTCCTCAAAACGTTAAACACAGAGTTACCATATGACCAGAAATTCTGTTAATACTCTTAGGCATACACCCAAAAGAATTAAAAAAGATGCGTCTACATAAAAAAAAAACTTGTACACAAATATTCATAGCATCATTCATTACATTAGCCAAAACTGGAAAGAACCCAAATGTCTATCAACTGATGAATAGAAAAATAAGGTGTGGTATGTGCATGCCATGAAATAGTATTCAACAATAAAAAAGAATGAAAACAATTTCGTGAGACAGGGCCTCACTCTGTTACCCACGCTGGAGTGCAGTGGCATAATCATGGCTCACTGAAGCCTCAACCTCCCAGGCTCAGGTGATCCTCCCACCTCAGCCTCCCAAGCAGCTGTGACCACAGACACGCACCACCACACCCAGCTAATGTTTTGTATTTTTTACAGAGACAGAGTTCTGCACGTTGCCAAGGCTGGTCTTGAACTCCTAGGCTCAAGCAGTCTGCCTGCCTCGGCCTCTCAAAGTGCTGCGATTACAAGTATGAGCCACCACCATGTCCTGCCAGGAGTAAAATATTGATAAATGCTACAACATGGGTAAAGCCTGAAAACATGATGTTAAATTATTTTTAAAAAGTCGGATACAACAAGCCACATATTTGGTGACTCCATTTGTATGAAATATCCTTAGTAGGTAAGTCCAAAGAGACAGAGTCCATTTGTGGTTGCTAGCACGTGGGAGAAGGAAGACTGGAGAGTGACTGCTAATGGTACAGGGTTTCTCTTTGGGATGATGAACACGGTCTGAAATTAGATAGTGCTGATAATGGTATTACTCGGTGAACACACTAAAAGAAACCTTTGTACTGTACACTTTAGAAGTAAGTTGTACAGTCTTTCCCCATACCCCCGTTGAAGTTGTTAAACTACTGAAAAATTCACTTAAATAAAAAAAATATCTGAAGAGCGATTTCTTTACCTCTTCAAAAATAAATGGTTTTTAGTAAAATACCCTGACAATTCCCTTATGAAATTTTGCTTGAGGATAAGGAATTTTAACTTCTGGCAATGTAGACTAACAATATTGGTTATCTTCTGGGAGATGCAGCCTGTAGGTAACAGTGATTACTTAGCGATGTTTTACCAACAAATAATTCTCAGATCAACCACAGAAAGGAAGAGTAATTAAAAGTTAACCAACATCACCAAGAAATAAGTAATTTTTTTCATAATACTTAAAGCAGAAGGGGACTAAAGCTTAGAAATGAAAGATATTCTTATACAATTAAAATGATCACCCAGGAACAACTGGTACAATATCTGGTGGGGTGAAAGAGGACTGATATTATAAGCTTTCTAATCTTTTTAAAAAGTCAATTGGACACGCTTAACACTCACCAAGTCGTTTCATGGTCACTCAAACTTGCATACTCTTGAGATTTATACAAGAGAAAGATGCACCCAAATACTGGGAATTTGAAAACCAAGATTTTCAGCTTCACGAATTGCAGCATTATAACATATTTTTAAGTCTATTATGGGCTACAGGTATTTTACTAGATACTTTTCTTAATTCATTTATCTCAGCTTAACAATTTTAGGTATATTGCTACAGAAGTCTCGACTATTCTTGCCTTTCTTCATTGTAAAGCCCATAAACACCCAAAAATACACCAAAGCTCTTGAAAGTATACATACAGATTATTAGATGAAGAATGATACAGGATCAGATAATTTTTTCAACTTTATGTCTATCATTTTTAGTCTCTTTCTCATTCCGTTGTGAATCAAATAACTCTCTACAACAGCTCTGAACATTAGCAGGATATTCTCTCCATCCAAATTGTGAAGGGGGAGATAAAGAAATGACAGAGAAAAAAAGTGACACTCTGCTACAGATTCTGTTCTAGGATTATGAATTTTTTTCAGTTAAGTGTACAAGGTTATCAAGGTGGTAATTTCATATTTTCT